GGCTAGAGTGCAGTGGCATCACCATAGCTCACAGCAGCCTCAAACTCCTGTGCTCAAGTGATCCTCCTACCTTAGCATCCCCAGTAGCTAAGACTATAGGTGTACACTACCATTCCCAGCAATTTTTTCTTTTTTTTTTTTTTTTTTTTTTTAAATGAGATCTCACTTTGTTCAGGCTGGTCTTGAACTCCTGACCTCAAGTGATCCTCCCACCTTAGCCTCAGAGAGTACTAGGATTACAGGCATGAGCCACTGTGCCTGGACCCGTGTACCTTTTGATATTGAGGGAATATGTGTGTGAATGCAAGGTGCAGGCTGAAGTTCCAGCATGGATGGCTTGTAGCATGAGCAAATTTATACTGTTTTTTAGGCTCTCCATTTGGCATCATTTTCTTAATTTTCAGACTTATAGGATGAGCATAGTGAGCTCAATTTTAACACAATTTTACTGATTTGACACCCCATATGAGAAAAGAGAATAGTTTAAAAAACTGACTTCCTCACAGTGAAATGAGAATATGAGAGTGGAAGTAGTATTAGGAAGAGATTTCAGTTTGTATGGTACTAAAGGGTATGCCATCTCTTACACACCTGCTCTTGGCCTACGAAAGACCACCTGAGCTCTCCTGTGCCCCAAGCTGGTATCGTCTGGGTGGTGTATGGCTGTGATGCATCAGAAAAGCAGGTGGGGCACATATGAGACATGATCATGTATTTCCCTAGTTCTAGAAAGCTAACAGCTTGAGTGCGACACATAAATGCGGAGTGATGGAAGACTTTTTATGGAGAGTAGTCTGATCCTTGACCTCTTTCGAGAGGACGAGTGATGTTCTTAAACCCATTACTTAGAATGGTCTGTCGTGGGTGATTGTTGTATAATCTGTTTGTAAACCTTGAATTACAGTACAGAGAAAAATGGGTTTTGCAGATGTAAGTGTGTGAAATGGAACTGAAAAAGACCTATGGAGCACATTATTTTGACATACTACAGGAGAAAATGTATATTTACAAGTTTAAGTGAAACTCTGGATGTAGATAAATAGATAGTGGGGTTGACAATTCAGCACGGTTCTTGCAAAGAAGACCAAATTCCTGGACAAAAAAATGAAAGTGATTATATTATCGGATTCCTCATCTTGTAATACCATTATGGTGTACTGAGTGGAAAGACTGAATCTGTTAAAAATTAACTATGGTGAATGATGAATTAACAGGGACTCACTTGGACCCATTTCTTCCTCCCTTCTTTTTTTCCTCTATCTTCCTCTATGCAGAGGTCCTCAAACTTTTTAAACAGGGGGCCAGTTCACTGTCCCTCAGACGGTTGGAAGGCCATTGGAGAGTGCGGCACACATTCCGCACACATGCACTGTGGGCCTCGGACAAGTCAGCTGCTAAGCAGGACAGGCAGCAGTGGCAAAAACTCCCGGCGGGCTGGATAAATGTCCTCGGCAGGCTGCATGTGGCCCGCCGGCCGTAGTTTGAGGACCGCTGCATGGCTTTCACATTTTAGAAATATACATATCCATATTATGTCAGTCATAATTAACTTGATGCTTAATGTATTCTTCACCAGGTAACAATTCTAGGAGTATTTTTTAGCTTAGCCTCCTTTCAATGTTGCTGTGGCATTTATCCTGATCCTATTTTTTCCCTAGGAAATGAGCCATTTCTCATTTTTTACTCTAGCTCTACACTCTAGGGAACTCACTATGGGACTTGCCAAAGTAATCAACTTTTTCTGCTTGGATCTCAGGCATTCCCCCAGGGCCAGGCATTATAACCACTAGGGAATTTGCTGTTTGATCTCTTGATTCTGAGAATTATCTTCTGGGTACCTCAATTTAGGAGCAATGGGTTGTTTATATCCTTTCTTTCAAAGGATTTTTGTTTCGACACATAGCCTTCATATATGGCTTACTTTTGTACTTTAGCTGGACACAAGTTCTCATGACTGGTAGAGCCCCATACTGCTCTTACCCTCTTCCTGGTAAACCTTTGCCTTTTATTCCTAAAATTTTACGTTTCTTAGCAACTTTATTGTGTAATAATCTCAGGCCTCCCAACTCTCTTCCATGAACATATCTGTGGTTTTGAATGACTGTCATCCTTCAAATCTGTGCCTGACTTGACTTCTGTAAGAACATCTGCTGTTTTTGTGTTAATATGCTTGATTTAGAAAAATGACTAGAAATCAAGACTTCGATTCACTGTCTAACTTTGTTTGCTTTCCTCAGTGGATTTTGAAGTAGGTATGAAACAGGGTGCTCTTTTTAGCTTGGGTAGTTTAACTGATGCATAGTAGCAGATAATCACACTCTTACACAATCATCTTGTAGGAGATGGTTGTTCTAGTTTAGATCCCCCTTAACTGCTGATAAATATTTTTTTATCAAGAGAAAAGTTACTTTCTTAGCCTAACTGTGCCACCTCATATATTAATATTAAGTTAGCTCAGCACAGTTCTTTTCTTGGTAGGGAATTCAAAATGTGAGACTTGACTTGATATTTTTTACCACTGAGGTGCTTAGAAAATTAGAGTAAATAATGAACCAATATTTCAGTACCAGATTAGACACAGTTTACTGTGATGTTTTATAAACCACAGACTCCTTTCTTCTGTGAATGCTTGAAGGATCCCTTTTTTTTCCCAGACATACAGGGTGCAAGTGTAAATTTCCATAAAATTTAAATGAGGTGCTTCCTGTAATTAATGAACAATTGTGGCTGCTCTCTGGTCTGCATTGTAATTAACCGTGATCAGGCTTGTTTAGTGATGACACTGTTCCTGTAATAATTTGACAAGCTACTGTGAATTTGCCAGGTTATTAAACAACCTGCAGCATTCACTTATGGAATCACAGGGACAAGCTTGGCTGCTGCTGCTAGTTAAATGCAGCATAAGGGTGAACCAAAAGCTGCCTATTGAAGTCTATCGATCACCATGAACAGATTGAAATTCCTATGATTTTGGAGAAGTTAATTAATTTCATGAGGGGTGTCTTGAAAACTTTTTATTACATAATAAACCTACTGGGGCAAAGCTGGTCATTTTTATGAACTCACAATGAAACCAGCAAATCTCTGTATTGTTAACAGCACTATAGACTAAACAAGAGCTGAGGTTCCCCTTAACACCTTATTAAATAGGTATAATTATTTTTTAAAAAAGATTGTTCTCTTCACAAATCTATCCAGAACATCTCCCCAGATGTGTTCTCTCTCTCTCTCTCTCTCTCTCTCCCCCTCTCCCTCCCTCCCTTCCCCCCCCTCCTTGTTCAAAACAACAGATGACCTTGTGCTAAACAGAGTCATATTGCAGGTAGAGTTACTTAAGTGGACTGGTAGGCTTCTATCCTTGGTCACCAGTGCACTGGTCCCCTTACCCCCTCTTTCAGGTTAAGAACGGTTCAAAACGTTACTGTCTAGTTACTGTGGTGTCTTTCATTCAGATTCTGTTTATTGACTAAACCACAAGGATTCCTGCCCAAAGTACCAGGCGGTCTATGCTTGACTGATTTTGATTTTCTAACATCAGCCCTGGGGTTTATTTGAAAAATGTACATACACTGGAGCTTTAACAAGTCAAGTGACTGCATGTTTTTGACCATAGAGAAGAGTGTATCTGAAGATCATTAAATTTAGCAGGGAGAAAGGAGGGGTAGAGAATAAGTGTAGTAGTCATTGTACCATTGCAGAGAGAGAGAGAGAGAGAGAGAGAGAGAGTGTGTGTGACACATTGTTTTTGTCTTTTCATCTTCTCCAAGAGCCAGAAAGTTTCCTGCAGTTCTCTTTCCAGCTATTGACAAATGATTGCCAGATGTGAGATCTTTGCAGTGCTCTTTCCCTCAGCAAACCTGCAGCGATGGGATATTTGATTCTCCCTTGCCCATTTCATCTCCTTTCCACATCTGCCAGGGACACACAAGCAATACATCCCTACATGAGAGTTTAAAGTTTACTCAGCTCCTTTTTCTCCTCCGATAAAATGTTTGGAGACAACAGAATGAGGTCCATATGACTCTCTCCCAACTTCGCTGTATGAAATTAGTTGTTTATTTTACTTACCTACCTCTCAGTAATTGAACTATTTCATTTTAGTTTCGGTCCATGGAAAATTTGATATAACTCTGGGAGTGCTAAGAGTTTCCTATTGTCTGCTTGCTGCAAGTATGCCACCGTCACAACTTCCCTTTGAGCACCTTAATTCTTATAAAAACTAGACTGTTGGTTTCATAGGACTTCTCAGTAATTTTAATGAACAACTGTCACAATATTAAGTGTGGCATGTCTGGCAAAATTTAATAGTCATTTAGGATTTAAAAAGCTATCTATGGTGGGGAGTGGAATTCAACTTGTTTGGCTTGATGAGTTTACCCTGTGTTTGTATCATTGTCAGAGTTGATATGTATGAGGCTCTAGTTTTGATCACAAGTAGCTTTAAAAAAGGGAAAGTACACTAAATTTCAGGCACATCTGAAATTAGCTTGTGTAGGCCACACATGTAATCACTGACATGTACAGAAGCCTTTTGCATCTGCTTGGAATCTGTATTGATATTGATTTTTTTTCTCATCTCAACTTGAAAATATTTTCCAAAATGCCCTTATACCTCATGTTCAAACTATAGGGTGGGCTGACACAGGTGGCCTGTCTGTTTTCCTATTACACTTTTTGGCAAACGAAAAGGCCCCTTATTCCCTGAATAAGATCAGTGGGGTTTTTTTTAAACATTTAAAAAATAATCCATAAAATGTCTGCCACATGTTCTCTAGTTTATGGAAATGTTTTCCAAATTAGAGCTGTGGAATTGGATTCTTATTGTAAAAGTGCTTGTGTGTTTACTATTCCTGCTACTTTTTTAGCTACCTGTGATTATGTGAATTTATATTTTTATGTGAAATTCAAATGAGAAATATTACTATTTCTGAATTTCTGTACTGAGAAAAATTATTTTTGATTATTAAAGCCCATCTAAGAATCAAAACAGGAAAAATGTGAAGTCTGTTTTTCAGTATGTTCTTTAAAAAAAATTAACAGAGCAAAACTGAACAAGAACAAAAAAGCCAACAGCTTCTGAAGAGATTAAGTCCTACTAAGCCTAAGTAAATGGGGAAAAACTGTGTACCAAAAGTTCTCAAATTCTGCATGTTTCTATTGGAAGTTTTTATTGCATAGGGTAGAAGACAATTGCAGTTGAAGATGAAGACAATGATTTCAAACTGTTTACTCTTAAAAACAAGATGATGATCATACTGGAAGGGGTTAAGTTTAAACAACACCCCTTAAACCAAAATTCCCCCAAACAAAGAACATCTCTATGGAAAAGTTTATATTATTACTGTTCTATGACATTACCTGAAGACTGCTGGTCATGCCAGGCACACAGTGGATGCCAATGGATGGGAAGGTGGAGGCAAGAAACTCTTTCATAAAACAACAAGGTTAGCAACTCCTGCGGCAGGAGCCAAGTTCCTCTGAGTTTAGATCACTTCACATAATTTGCCCTCACTAATGTATTTGCTGGTTTCTCATGCCTTCCTGCTTTTTCCTCACCATGGTTACTCTGGGAGGCAGAGAGGTGCTAAGCAATGGAGGTGTCATCCGGCCTGCGCACCTAGGGAACGTCCTTCAGAGGACGACTTGTCACCAGCTGTCAAAGAAGAGAGCGGCTTTGTGGTCTCTGAACATCTGGCAGTGCTGCACAGGAAGCTGAGGGGGTGTCATTAATTGTGATGAAATAATTTAAACCATCAGGAATAAATGAGGCTGTTAAGCTAAGTTCAGATTCCATTTGCCATGCACATGTGTCTAGCAGCCTGTGTGCAGTTAAAAAAAAATTGAATTATATTAGCTCATGAGTAGAAGCGAAACAGATACTGTAAATGAAACAAGTTGCTGCGTAGCGATGACATCGTGTTGAACCACTTCACAGAGTTACAGTTTGTAGAATCAATATAATGAAAGTGGTATATTATTTATTGAATTTATACATCAAAATTCTTACTACCATAACAATACAGTAAGGACTAGTGGCTTATTGGTACACCGAGAGGACAGGTAGGTAGATGGGTAGAAAGAATTAAGCTACCAGGTAAAGGTGGAGCGGGGTATGTAGGGGCTTCTTTGTCAGGCTGAATTGATCCACCACTTACGTCTCTATAGAGTCTGGCTGTGGGTACAGTATTAACTGCCCTTGCTCTGCAGACATAGTGCAGATTGGATGGCAATTTCTCTCTGATGACTAACTATGGATGTCCCTTTGGGAGCTTCTGACACTTTTGAGTACATTGATTTTTTTTTTTTTTCTTGCTATTAAAAACAACTATCTTGGGTGATAGGAGATTACTTCTTAAGCAAATAAACATATTGTAAGGCTTTGCACAATCAGTGAACACTGATTTCAAATGTAACTTTCAGGCAGTCCCAATTTCTTTACAAAGGAAAAACTGTCGGGTTTGGAATGCTGGGGCAACTCTGAGGTTTTGTGCATTAAACTGAGCAATGGTGAGTAGGTTCCAAAGTACATTTCTAAAATAAAAGTCATTCCTTTGCACATAAGTAAAATTTTCAAACTTGAACTTCTACTTAAAAATAAAATGACTGTTCAGGTCATGCTGCACACTGTTCAGGTGCAGCATGCATTTAAAAAAATGTCAGAGAGGTAATCCTTCTGTTAGAAAACAGATACAGGTGATGGTCTGGAGCTCTGGGAAGCTTTGGACAAGAGTTGTTTCACTAAGAAATTTAACCCCAGCTTCCTTCTTTCATCCCTTCTCTACTTCATTGCTTTTCTATTTTTCCTGTTGTGTGTTGCCTTCCCCCCCCTTTTTTTCTATTTTTCTTTCATTTATTCTTGCTTTTAGATTTTTATCCTTTTATACTTGTTTCTCTTTATAATCTGTTCTCATTCTCCATCCTCCATAGAAGTGAACTACAATTCCATTTTCATTTAGTTTTCCTGCTACTAGCTAAATGATTAATATCCACAATCACTTAATTTGTGAAGTTAATAAAATGTAGGTTACATTTTTACATAAATTTGTGTGATCATTGATGGAGTTTTTAAAAGAATGTGAATGAACCTTGATAAATCTTTTTAAAAGGAATGTGGAATACTCACTGAGTTGTCCTTTTCCCTGGACTTGAATTAAACTGCTATTGGTGAAAGTCAGCCAGTAGGTTGTGGCTCCGGGTTACTCTCTCTCTCTTCTTACTCTGGACTCAGGAGTCAGACATTCTCGTTGAAACACTTGAGCTTCGTGACTTCAGACATATTTGACGTCTAATAGAATAACCAGTAGCTAGGATATTGTTTCTTTGTGGTTTTATTTTTGGATTTTATCTTAATTGATGAATAGTAAGACTTGACATCTGTTGGTACTGTTGGAAGGATTGAAAGAGATAGTGTCTGTGTATAAGATACTCTGCCTAGCACAAAGCTAATAGTGAATGCGTTGTTATTATATAAACTGTTTTTATTGGCTTCTGGGGCAGTAAAAATTAGAAGCAGATAAAAATTAGAAAAATTTTCCTGAATATTTCACATATATTGAAAATTTAAATATTATTAACCTTACAACAGTTTTTTTTCTTTAGAATAAGGAATCTAAGATGAACAGAGAATTTGAAACAGATAACTGCATTTTTCTTTCTTGTTTTACTTGGCATTCTATAGTGCATTTACTTCCTAAAACCAAATGATAATACATTAAGCAGTTGCTTGAAATTTTCTTTGGTAAGTATGTTAGTAAATATTTACAGGAAAAAGCAGTTTCATGTACTTAAGAGTTTTTAAGTACATGAAAACTCTTTTCTTATTTTGGTGGGGATTGAACTGTTTGCCCCTACTTGTTTTCAAGACCTTCTTGATTCTTCCACTGCTGTTGTTATATTTACTATCTGCTTAAATAGCATTAAATTAGTGGATTCCTGAATCTGGAGTTCTATATTTCAGGTACATTATGGATGAAATTAACTTTGTTTGAATGGCCTGAGAATCCTAAATACATTCTATATTCTCTCTCAATACCAGTATTTCTGTGAGAGAAATAGAATTTGGATGACCAACATAACACAAGCTGTTCATGTTGGGAACTGCCAGCATTAATTTAAGAAATGTTGGCTTCAACAGAGAGAGTTATGTGTTTATGGGCAGTGTATGTGCATGTGCATAGATTTTGTGTATACACACACACACACACACACACACACACACACACACATATATCCATATATTTATGAGAACAGCTAGCAGTATTCTGTTTGAATGTTTTGTTAGAGTCAGTCATAATGAAAAATTTACATTAAGAACACACAGTGTCCCCTACTTCCACATGCAAAAGAAAGAAAAAACTTTTTGTTTGGGTAGACAATGGAATCACAATTTGTATTGTAGATTCTTTAGGACTCAGTATTTTTTTACATGGTTTCAGGATTTAAACCTGGAAATTATCTAAGTAACCCAATATCTTCACTTTACAGATTTGGAAACTGAGGCCCAGAAATTTTAAAAGACTTTTCAAAATCACATACTTACTAAAACATTATCCATTTCTCATGTGTCAGAGCCCTTAAAATACTGTTTACTGGTTTTTATTCCTTTTGAGTGTAATGAGTATTATATATCAGTGTTGTGTTATAAATTTTTTCTTGTTATAGAAAATTATTTAACTCAAATTTGTCCCGTATTCTGCATGATCCAAGAAGTGTAAATAAAGAGTGTGCATATAAGTCACACCTTGATAAAGCTGGGGGAAGGAAGGGGAAGAATCAAGGAGGCTCTGTTTTTATTCCATGTAGTGATAATCTTAGCAGGTTCCCCTCTGAAAATAACAGGTCCTCTTGCATAATGTGTGATATGTGTAGACTTGATGCTAAAAAATGGAATGTTTGAGTCTGGTTTTTATTTTTTCCCTTATATCAATTAGTATAGAATTTAGGTGTTGTTCAAAAGCTAACTTTTGAACATTAAGAAGTAGAAATAGTCCCATCTAAATAGTCTCTGTTTTAAAAAAAAATCCTGCCATTATAAAAATTGAAGAATGGACTTTCCCAAGAACATAAAAGTGTTCATTTTTAGTGCTCAATAAGTGCTAGTGGAGTTTCATGGAGCATAGAAGCAGACCAAGTCCCCTTGAAATCATTGTTGTTGTAAAAACCATCTTTAAGTGCCTTTTTGGGTATGGTACTATGTTTGCATCCTATAAAAAGTGAGCTGAATAGATAGGGTTTTTGCCCTCTAGGAGTTTATAATCAAAAACAGATAATGGAGCTGACATCTGTTAATGTATTAAGGTCCTACAAATAAACATTGATCAAATACATAAATAAAAGTTTTATATTCAAGACAAGTAAAAACCTTTTTGCTTGCCTGATTGAATAAGTAAACAGCCAGCCTCAGCCCCACACTGAAACTATCCATGGAAGTTGTAAAATGACTAAACCCCTAAAATAATCCTGACACCAAGACACTCCTTTACATTGTTATTTTTTAAGAGTTTTAAGAGAGTGCTGGAATTACTATGATGTCACTAATAGTGTATTATAAGTTGATCTGGATACAGAGATGTTGTTTTTATCTTTCTGGTTAAGAAATTGCAATTAGTTTAATTTTCCTCCATCTCGAGGATTTCACTATTTCTAACTGTTGACTGGTGATACTTGCTGTTGTAAACCAGGATCCTAGAGGGCAGTTGAAAAATTTTATCTAAATCCCCAATGTTAGTAGAAATCATATTTTTTTAATCAGCTGCCTCAACCCCCCCAAGTTATTAGGAAATGCATTAAAACAAATACAGGGGTCTAAAATAATTCTATAATGAGACAACTTATATATCCAAAGGGTTTCGAGTAGAATATTGGTAAGAAGAGATAATTTTAGAACTTTGTAATGAACAGGTATACTTGTAAGTTTGGGTTAAGTTATACCGACTAAAATTAAACATATAAATGGTAGCAGGGGGTGATAAGTATTCAGTTTGATAACATACTTTCTTTCTGCATGCTTTAATTTTAATGTAAGGTATTTTAACAATCACTTCATTTTTGAAGTGTGGGGTAATTAAAACAGCAACATTGGGAAGACTAAACATGAACCCTTCTCAAAGTTCAAGACATTAAAAAAATGGCTATCCCTACCCCAGTGTAGGTGTCTGGCTGTGTAAATTAAAGTATGTGGATGCATAAATTAATTAGAACAGTCAGTGATATAAATCAAACTTATTTGGTCCACTGATGAAATGAGCATTGTTTGTAAGATTATCTTATTATTTAATCTCTTCTATATAAACCTGGCTGATTAGCCTTATGAAGTAATAATACAATTAATGTGATGATGGTATACTTTTTCTTCGTACAGGCCTGATCCTGCAGGCCTTTCTTGACTTGGATTTCTGTATATGTAAGACCATAAGAACTGGAAATTTTAATTAGCAAGAGTGCCCTTACTGCTCAGTTGTGGAGTTTTATTTTATTTTATTTTTTTTTGTATCTCAGAATGTTCCCTGGGATTTTTATTCTTTTTGAACCACTCATTTATTGCCCCAGAAGAATGAACTGCTTTCAGATATTATTTTCTCAAAACTGTGCAAAGTTCATTATAAGAGCTACCTGCTGACTTCCCTATGCTGTGCTAAGGGCTCTAAAATAAAGAGAAAGTTTTACTTATAAATGAAGCCATTAGGAATTTCTTGAATAAACAAAGTTTTTCCCCCCTTTGATGTGCAAAGGAATTTTGTTTATAATTATTAGTCATATAAGTCCATGTCTAATACATGCAAAGACCATTCGTTATCGTTTGTATGAAATGGAATGCACTCCTTTCAGCTAGAGAGCAGAAAACAGATACACTTTTAAAAACCATTCAGGGATCTTGGTATAAAGGAAAATTGTTAGTTTCATTACTTAGCATTTGATTCAGAACTTTTGCTTAGTGTTTTGTTTTTTTTTTTTTTCCTTGCCTACTTCCCCCATCTCTGTCCCTCTGACTTCATGAAGTTGGTTTCTTTGTATCCCAAAATGAAAACTTTGCTTTTGGGGAACTAAAGATGTGCATTTTATTCACCTTGCTCTCAAATTGCTTAACTATTCCATGATATTCTCTTATTCTTTAATAGAATTTAGCAATGGTGTCTAATAATGTAACTAAGAAATTGCAGGGAAAAATGTCATAGATAATTCCCTCTTGTAAAATCTTTTATGAATGAAGCCTGATGACTGGAATTTGTTGTTCCTACTTAATCTCATAGAGAGAATAGATTTAGAACAGTGTCTTTTTAGGATTATGCATAAAGCAGTTATGAGTGTGATGTGATAAAATCTTAATTGGGATTTCATTTTGTCCTGAACAGTTAGGATTATTTGCTCCTATGTTGTTCTGCATTGATGTTAAACATTTTCAATCTGACAAATCAGATCTTTGGATGTATTATTTTAAAGATTTTTTTTTGTCTCATCTTCATAGGAGTGCCACAGATCTCCCTGTTCCAACAGTGATTATCTGTGATGCCATAACAACTTCCCTGGCTGTTAGCAGAGTATGTATCATTTTTGTGGTTTTGTGAGTCAGTAACCACTAAAAGATTTCTGACCAATCACCCCTGAATGATTTGTTCTGAGTTTGCTTAATGAGAGAAGCATGGCGTAAGAGAACCTCGCAATACATGCGATACATTTTCACTGTTACACTTGGCTCTGTTCTGGATAATGCAACTTGGATTTTCTATCATTGTTGAGCTATGTAGATATATTTGATGGCTTTTGGGTCTGTTTTCTGGAAGGCTTTTGGAACAATATTTGTCACACTAGTATTAAGATCAGGGGATCTGCTAACTAGAGCCGAGGCATGTGGTGAAATAAAATGCCTTCTGGGTTGAAGAGGTGACTAACCGTGGGCCAACTGGTCTCCTTTACTTTCTGATTAGAGCCTTCTTCTCAGATCTGATGAGAAGCAGGTTACTCAAAGAGCTGAGAAAACTGTGTGTGGCTACATGTCCTGTTTCTAGCTGGGAATGATGCTTATGACCAGAGCTGATGGGAAACTCTGGGATACAGTCTGACTCTCCATCAAATAGAAGCCCTGGTGGTAACTGTAAAGGCTGGTTTGGAGTAAAGGCTCTGAGTAGCACCATACCATATTTTTCTGACGAGTATGACTTTTTCATGAGTTGCCTGTTCTCTGGATATGAAAGGTCTAGACTTTCTGCACTTTCCTAGTGCCTTTCTATTGTTTATCTTTTCCTTTTGACTGTAAATTGTGTCACTACCTCATAGCTTCCTTCATTTTGGTAGAATCAGATGTTATTTTATTTATACATTTTAGAATCTCTTCTGGGAGCTGACTGAACCTGGGTCTTCCTGCAAACACATTGAGAAAGTGACTTCCATGAAGGTACTATGTTTAGCAAAGATTCCAGAATTGGAATGAAGGACCAGGGGAAACCAATACAAAGGTGAATTATTGAAGTGATCAGTACTACTACTGATGGGTGCTCATTCTCACCAAGGCCTTGTAAGGCACTTCCTGAATGTCTCTCCAGGGCAGAAAAGGGGAAAATGTTTACCCATTGGCTCTCATTTTCTATTGATCTGTGCCCCTCTGAGCATTAACTCCTCACACTTCTGACTTAAGCATGTATATCTTCCTTCAGGTTGTTAGCAAGCATGATACAGGTGGGGCAAGCTCAGGATAAGATGCTAATTAGCTATAAATGGAAGAATTCAGTTAATGCCGCTAGAACAGCAGGTGAAACAGAGAGGTTTTTGGTAGTGCAAGGAACCCATACTTTAAAAAATTTTGGTCTAATTGCCTGCAGAACTCTGGAATATTTGTTGTCTCAAATCTCTCATTTGTTGTAGTGTACTTCTTAGGTGAGTTCAGGTTTCAGGTATACCCTTACCACCACTTTGTTATTTGAAAAGACTGTTTGCATTTCCCACAATAATTTGAGCATACCGCTTAGAACACTGGTCATTCACCATTAGGACTGGAGTGATCTGGAATAGGTAATGCATTTCCCTTTCATTGACATGAGTCCATTGCATTATCCACACTGAAGCATAAACCATTTATAGGCATTATCCCATGTCCTTGATTTTGGAATAGGGGAAAGTTGTCAACTGTTCAGCTACTCTTAATATTCTTCTTATAAACAGAGTTACTTAGCAGAATTCTACCAACAGTGTGATTTGGCTCCTTCAGACCTTTAAAAGTAGACCCAAGTCTTCACTGCAGTTTGCCAGATGGCCCCAGGAACCCCAGGTTCCTGGTATAGTTAATGCTTCTATTAAACCATGACATATGATAGATTAGTGAAGATTTAGAGAAGAGTGTAAGGAAAAACTAAAAAGTAGTCCCTAGTGGGATTGAAACATTATGCATGCTTTCGTACTTACTTGACAGAAGAATCTGTTTCAGAAACCAACTTCTAACAAAAGCAATTGAGTTACACTATTATATGTGTTCTTTTTATTGTAGTTACATATTTTTATTAGAGCCATGGTCCACAAATTATAAGGTTAATTATTATCATGGATCATGGTGAGAAGAAGAAACAACATCCAAGTTTCATACCAGCCACTCTAAGCTGCATTTAAAGACTCTAACACCTTATGCTGCTTTTAAGTGAATGAACAGATCTTAATTTCTTTCTCTGTGGTATCTGTTTTCTTTTTTCTTGGCTGTTCCTCTTTTTAAAGAAATACATACTGCTTATAGGAATGATAATTTAAGAGAGTAAAGAACAACAAGTGCTCAATTTGTACAGGTAGATGGAATGGACACCTTGTAAATGAAATGCATAGCACAGCATCTGACATAACATAATTCCCTCAGTAAATTATTGTATTTTTTAAAGGTAAAAGACCAGGGCAGAGAAACAACAGAGGCAGATTTTAATATGAATTTATAGCTGTTAAAACATCTTCCATCAATTGGGAGCTGTTAGCCAGTGAGATGTTCTTCCAATTTGCTCTTTTGCTCCAATTCATAATAACCAGTACTGTTTCAATAAAGAAAAAAATGCAGTTCACTCTGCTGCAACTTTCTCTTGGTCTGAAGGAGTTGGATATTTGCATGATTTGAGGTTAAGATACCTTAGCACATTAGGGAAAAATGCAACATTAAGGGTGCAATAGAATATACCATCTAGAAGATAAGGAGTTTTAGATTATAAGGAAACAAACTCCCTTTTCGGGCTCTTAAGGAACAATTTTCTATCTTGTGGTTGGTCACTTTCAATGTATGGCAATTGCTTTCCATTATAATCCCAAACTCCAATCAATAGGTACAATATTATGCAACTTATAGTTACATTATAACCAAAATATGTCAAATGTGGTTTCTGAGTGGCTGATTTACAGTAAGTCTTCCTCAGTCCCCAAAGTGGGTATTATGACTAATTTGAACTCCCATAGACTGAAGCATTTTTTATATGGAAATATTGTGTGTAGTGGTGAGATCGTGTCTGTAGAGGTAGTAGAAGCAGTAAAACACTGTCAATTTATTCACATACAGATTGATCCATTGTCATCTCCTTTGCATCTCCATGGATTGTTGTGAATTATTTGCTCACCCTAGGAGAGACGTGCTCTGAATTCTAATAATTTTAAATTTGTGAATCTATTAAAACCATATTTGTAGCTCTAAAAAAATTGATATTCACTGGGCAGTTTGCCCAAAAAGAGAAAGTCAAAGAGATTACACACTTATCCTAAGTAACAGCAGCCATCCTGCCAATTCTTCTTTTGAAAGAATACAGCAGACCCAAATTATACATCTATGGGTAAGGGTAGACAAGAAAAGAACTCAATATATCAAAATCAGAAAGTAAATTCCACAATAATGGTTACAATAATGTTTCAAGATGTGATTTCAGCATAGACCTAGTCATTGAACTAATCATAGCTTAGATGGGTTTAAAATTGTTTAAAGCACGTCCTGAGGTTGTTAAATATGTTTATCCCTCTCTCTTGAAATCAGAATATCCACTCATGTACCAGAATACCCTGAGATCATGTGGGACAGTGATAACAACCTCATTGTTTGATGAGAAAGTAAGGCCCAGAGTGGCACAATGACAAACTATCATCATACTTAGGTCTTCTGATCTCTTATCTAAAGTTCCTTTCATGGGATACAGAATTAACATACTGAGCTCCTACAGTATGCCAGATGCTGGCAGTACTAAAGATGCATAAAAATAAGTTGGTGTTTCCAAGGTAGTTTTGCTAACTATGATCTCCCCAGGGGACAGGTTTAGTCTTGTTTGTTCATCTTTAAAGTCTCCTTGTGCCTGAAGCTTAGTAGGAAGGTACCTAATAATTGCCTGATGAACCAATGTGATAAGTGGAGTCACAGAACACATGAAAACCAAGGAAGAATTCACACAGGGGATAAATTTTTAGTTAACTTTTTGAATAGACAGTGTTTTTTTGTGTGTGTGTGTGGCAGATAGAGTGGAGAAATAAGCAAGCTCAACTAAAAGATGAGGCAAGAATAAAGTTTTTTTCATCTCTGCATATCCTGGTATCTAGCATGGTGCCAGGAGCATACTAGGTTCTCAAAAAATATGCTATATTGCATTCTCTTTGTATAAACTTGGTGTGCACAAAATATGCTATATTGCATTCTCTTTGTATAAACTTGGTGTGCACCTTTCTTAATTTTCCATATTAAGAATCTAGTAAATGTCTTGGTTTCAAAACATTTCTCATTTGGTTATATCTAAATAATATATGCCAGAGAGAAAATGAAATGTTATCAAAAGAATAAATATCTCCTTTAGTTTAATTATGTCAATAAGAAGTTAAAAGTGAAGTTTGCTTAGATAATTCTCACTTTCTGAAAATTGGGAATCAGCTTTTTTTCTTGTGCAGTTTAGGATAACTACTTCAAATGACTACATTTGGCACTAAGTAGAGAGCCCCACTGTTAATTTTCAATTAACTACATTGTTGATTAGCTTGTCTAGTAACAATACTTCAGTTGTTTGTACTGCCTATCTCAGTTGAGTAGAGCATGGAACCAACAAGAGCCTGATTGTGGATTTTATTCTTGTATGGGCGGGTTAGATTTGCAAAGGGAAAAACCTCTTGAATAAACATAGACAGCACTCCAAATGTTGCTTAGCTGTTAAATACATGGTTGCTATTATTACGAAGGAGAACTTGGAAAGGAGATCATCATATCTCATTACCATTCCTGGGTAAACAACCAAAACATATATTCTAGTGACAGTAGTTTCAAGACACCTGTGTGTGTGTGTGTGTGTGTGTGTGTGTGTGTGTGTGTGTAATGTGTACCTCTCTGAAATTAGTATTTAGCTCTTTAGTGGAAATAGGACACTGGTAATGTTGTTTGTTGGCTTAAAATTTTTTCAGAGTGAATTATCACCCTAGTACAAGTTCATAAATATTTGAGTGTATATGTGCATTTTATAACTCTGTAAACTAAAGTAGCAAAAAAATCAAAAGAAAAAAGCAAATAAAATGTTCAGATCAAATAATGCTAATTACATTTAAGTGAAATAGACAGCTC